TCAGTGTATTTGTAATACCATTTGGTAGTTCCTTTTAGCCTGGAAGTCTATTTCTTATTATTATCATTTTAAATAAAGTTTCTTATAGCTCTGTAAATCTTGTTATGCAGTGATGATGTAAAACAGTCAAGAATGAAGGACGTAGATGATGGGAAAACAAAAAAACTGAGTTACTATATTTTGAAATGTTTCTTGTATTGAAAAATTTATTTAATGTTTATACATTACCTAGACTAAGGTCATGAATCATCAGTTCAGTATTTAGATGGGGAATTTCAAATTAAAATGTAAGTGCTGTGTGAATCCGTATTTGTAATTCTGTAAGCCATGTTCTTCAACCTCATTAGCAAACTCCTATGTCATCGTATCTCTAAGAATCCTTTTACTGCAGGAAGGGATTACATGAAATAGGGATGTGAACTGTAATTCTGACATTTTGAGATGATTTTAAGAGAATTTACAACCACTTTAATTAGCACTAGCAGTACCAAAGTTGCCATGTGTTTTGAAACAGTTACTTCCCCTTAGGTAATGCACTCTACTTACCCGCAAGTCGAACAGTAATTTCAGTTTGCTGAGTTAATCTTCACTTTTTGTACCAAAGTTTTTAGTAGTATTGCTGATCTTGTTTAGACATTTCAACAACTAACATTAAGCACAATACCAAACAATTACTATGATTCTTTTTCCCCTTATATTGAGTTAAATTTCCCATGCTGCATCTGTGACTGCTTTATCATGTCCTTTCACTGTGCCTCTATGAGAGTCTCTCTCTCTTTTCTATGTAGGTTGCTCTGAAAGTAATTCCTCCTATTTGTTTCCATGGAAATGACAACACTTTTTGATAAAGCACATTCTCAGCTACAGAGCACTATTTTTCAACATTGTCAGCTCCATTAGCTGTGCATTTTCACCAGAGTTGAAGAGGAGTGTGCATGCCTCACTCATACAAGTCTGTACCATTGGAGGTGACCCAGTGTTTAGCAGCTGATACGATATCATTGTTGCTAGGAAAATGTTGCCTGTGCAGTCCATCTTTCATTGGCTTGAACAGATGGAAGTCAAAAAATGCTAAATCTGGACCATTTGGGGAGTGTTGTAAGGCAGTCCGGCCAAGATAGGCTATGTAATCCACAGTCTTCAAACTGATATGGTGCCTGGCATTATTGTGTATTTCTGCACAAAGGAATTTGGTTCTACACCTTTGCTTCATCTGCACTTCTGTGTCAGATGCCATTTTGTCAGACTGCCCCACTGCTGCCGTTTTTTGCATACAACAAAATGTGATGGAATATTGGTGATTGAACCTCTACTGCTGTACCACCACCATCTGCCACTGATGTTTTGGGCTAACGTAATGAAATAGGAGGTATTATTTTCAGAGCAGCCCTCATATGTCTTGCTAGAGGATTCCCAGTTTGTGAACCCAAGAAGATAAACGTCGCACTTCTCAAATCAGGAAGGATCATGGCAGCATAAGGATGTGCAGCTGCATTAATGTTCAGATAATTTCAGGTTGCAAAAGTAATTTGTTACTTTAAGGAAACACAAAGACACTCAAGTGACTGATTTTATGTCTACATTGCTCTGAAACAGTGAAAGCGTCCTCACTGCCTTGTAGTGCCTGCGCTCTGTGCATGCAACAGACTCATTGATGTCTTGTTCAGCCCTGGCTAGGAACAGTAGTCATGCTTAGCATTTTTTGTCCATTCATATCTTAGAAGGCTAATTCCTGTTATGTCTGAAGCCTTCTTGCAGGCTTATACTGTATAGTATAGACAAGCTTGACTTCCAGAGTAATTCTCCCACCAGCCCTAAGGGGTATTTTAGATATAACCTTAAAGGGTAGGCAGAATGTATCTTCATCACATTCTTTGGCTTAGGCAGCAATAATCTTCCTAAATTTGCCTTAGGGCATCTACTTGCTCTTATCGTTCAAGGCCAAGCAGTCTGTAGGTTTCACCTTCTGTCATCTTTCGTTATAATTTCAATCAGCTGCCGGTTCTTTTCCAAGTATCAGTCTGCTCAGGAAGAAGTCAAACTACACTTATTAATGTTGATCCCTAAACAGAAAAACTTTCTTTTACTTAGCCAAATAGAAACACTTCCTTTTATGAGAAATAGCACGTAATATTTGTCCATTTTATAAATGAATTCATCGCTGTCCTATCCGGTATCACAGCATAGACTTAGATTAGGTTTTATTATTGCACATTAGAGCTCCCTCATCCAAGGCTAAGCCTTCTGAAGCTTCTCTGAAAATAATCCGATTTGAAAAATTTGTGGATGGCAATCAATCCATCTTTTAACTCACTCGTGTCAATTAGTTGAGGTCTTAAGATCTGTTTTCCAGTGTTAGTAGACATATTTTTCTACCAGTAGGTAAACTGGTCTTTTAACCATCTCTTTATTAAAAGATCTCTCTTTTCTGGATAGGTCAAGTGTATGTGATTCAAGGTTTGCTGTTCGTGTTAATTTTGAGATGCATCTTCATTACTGCAGTCACATACCACTTGGAACCTGTAATGATAGAGGTGCCAAGAAATGTCAGGCCATCCTATATGCTGAGGGAAAACGGTGTTCTACCTAATTAATCAAAACAATCTTTTTACAAAAATAATGCTCATAAGAAAAATATCTTCGTAAACTGTTATTCATGGACTTTAAAGTAACTTTCTATAAGTGATTGATGTCCTGTGATGCTTCAGCATGTGATTTTAAAAACATATGTAGTTGACACTTTTTGTGATCGTGTACAACTTTTCAGGATTCCCTTTTCTAAGATGGAAGTAGCAAAAAAACCCATCGTGCTTCTTCCATGAATAATAAATCTGTAATCATGAACACTTCCTAGTTGTTTAGTAAGGACTTAAACACAGAAGGTTGTTCATTGCATTCAGTGAAGTCTCTGCATTTCTCAATCCAGCCTTGTTAATTTAGCCATTAGAGACAAGAACCAGTGCTGTTTGCCTGCATTCCACTCGATGTTCTAGTTTTGTATGTGCTGAGTAAGATACTATTTGGAGTCTGTCTACTTACTACTACTGGTGATGGCAAAGTCCTTTGATGCTGAAACCTGATCAATGACAATGGGAATGCTTTGAATTTTAGCAGCTGATTTCTAACAAATTAATATAATGTGCCCATGCCAATTGGATTTCACGGTGGCTACAGAATACATTCCAGACAACTGTAAATGTATCTGTGCTGCTTGAAAGTTAGATAGGACAAAATTTGCAAATTTACAAGGAAAAAGAAGTGCTCTGGAGAAAAAAATCAGGAAAATTATTTCTATGTTGTACCTGTGTTAACAAGTACAGCACATAAGAATCAGATCCGTGAAACAAAGCAATTAGTACAAAGTAACTTAGATCCACACTACACAAATTTTAAGAGGTTTTACTCTGGGCTAGCTCTGTCTACGCAACTTACGGACTTACGGAACTGTTTAGAGTAAATTGTTTACTCACCCAAATCAGTTTGCATACTCTGAAACATTTCTGTGATGTGAATCGAAGTACGTTAAGTGGAAGCTATAAGCTCCTCAGTATTTGCTTAAATTAGGAAGTTAACATAGGTGCATCCTTGTGGAGGGAAACATACTTCACTAGTTTGTAAATGCCTCAAAATAAAACTTATTTCCATATTGAGAAATAACTTTGATTACAGAATGACCCCACTGGCTTAACAGTTTTGTGAATAACATCCTCAGTCATGGTAAATGGCTGTACCAGAACTCAGTTTACTAATGTTATCTAATTTGCACTGAGGATCTGATCCATTGACTTTAGAATCCACTGTGAAGCTTCATATGTTGACAGTCACATTTATTTATTTACTTATTATTAATAAATAAACTAATCCATGGCTTTCTTTCTTTTTTTTTTTTTTTTTTTTTTTTAAGTTCATTGCCTATCTCAGTGTTGGTGGAACAGTTAAATTATGTTCTGTCTTAGACCAGCAAATCATCATGAAATCTGGGCTGCTTATATTTCTGTGGCTTGGAGAATCCATATCTATTAATGTAATCAACATATGATCCGTATTTACTAAAAAAGTAGCCTCATGATGTAAATGATAGCCTCATGATACAAAGAAAGTAGCCACATGATACAAAGAAAGTAGCCTCATGATATAAAAACTTGTGAACAGAAACAATTTTTCAAAAGAACTGTCATGCACCTACATATTCCAACTGTAATAACAGCAGTATGAGACTTACATTTTTGAACACAGATACATTCCATTCATGTCAATTGCAATCACAAAACTAAGGTTCAAATTTTTAACTGAGTTAATCATCTCATTGCCATTAATTTTAGTGAACTTAGATTATTAAATAATCTTTAAAAGCCACTAGTTCTTAAGTTTTGAATGCATTATTATCAGTAAAATGTTTATTGCTGCAGTATTGCTAGATACTTCATATTTTGGTGCAATGTGTAATGATATTCTTTAAAGATTTAATTGTAAGTGCAATTTGTGCACAGCACTAGACCTCTTAGAGGTCAATTTCTAGTGTTTAGAAAAAAGAGAAACAAACAGTTGATGTGAGATAAAGGTGTCATCTGTATGATGCAGTGTCAGATATGAAATTCAAGTGATGTATGAGAGGGTCAGGCTTAATTTTTCCGAAGCGGAGGAAATGAGAGGCATTTCATTTTTGTAGGTGAGAAGTGAAATGTTCCTCTCTGCTCACTGAAAGAGGCATGCTAAGGTGAATTTTAATTATGACTAAATTGTGGTATTACTCTTTCATACCCTGAACATCTGTTCCCTTCAGGAATGATGATTTATGCAGGCTATCACTGCAGACAGCTTGCTACAGCTTATGTCACGGTTAGTAAGAAGCTGGTGGTAGCATTTCAGAAAATACCAGCATCTAAGGGAAGACAGGCCAGTGTGTATTTTTAAGATAATATGGAAAGGGGAGCATGATATGTCCATTTTTAATTTTGAAGCCAAATATTGACTTTACTTATCTTTTCTTTTTCTTTCAGACCATCTGTCATTAATGAGGAAAGTAACTCGGATAGTGGCCTGGTTCTTCACAATGGTTTCAACAAAAAGAAAATGAAGGTGTCATTTCCAGCTGCACGTAGAAAATGGTTGACAAGAATTCTGACAGTTTTATAGTACTTAAGGACTGGATAGGGCAGGATAATTCTGAGACTATTGCATCACGAAATCAAATTGAAAAGGTAACCTTTGTTTATTAGCATGTCTGAATGCATCTCCAAATCACCTTCATTGGTACCACCGGTTTATTGTTTTCTTGTAACTATAGTTTATTCTTTAAAACAAAACAAAAAACAACTCTTGAATTACAAAGCCTTGGAATTCAACATAACTGGGGTTATCTTTATGCTCATATTACATAAGGAAGGTAAGGTAAAGTTTCCTCAGTGAACTTTCTTCCCTGATAGCCCCCCTGCTCTCTAACCTACACTTCTTTACCCAGTAATCAGCCTTGCTTATGATTATGCCTATTTTTGTGTGTTCTAACAATACGTGTATCTGAGCATTTATTACCAAGGAATATTATTTCTAAGTTTATCTGAGGCATGGGTTATATATTTGAAAATACAGTCAAGTTTGATTAGGCTAGGCATTTAATTATAAATATTCTGTAGCTAGAATATCTGTCTTGAAATATATCGCGCTGTAACCATATAACAAAGTATCTTAAAGTTACACTCTATGCAATTTTTTTTTCATCTATAACATTCTTTGGTAATTCAATAGGGTTTTGGGTAATACACTCTTTTCAGGTAAGCCTAGAAGGTTGAATAATAACACTTCTACATTCATTGTGATAAGTATGATTAAAATACACAGATCAAACTTGTACACACTCCTGTACATTGGAGCAAAAAGATTCACCAGTGGTTTTTAAACATCACAACAAATCAGTAGCTTGATAAAGAGTTAATCAATCTTTGTCTTTTTTCCATGGGGATGTTTTTGATCTAGACCATTAATTATTGAACTGTGATCTACGAGGCCTTATGCTTCATGTAATGGGTATCCAAAAGCAACTGAGGCCATAGTTTTGAGCACATTTCAAGTCAGTGTACTCCAGAAGTTTTAAAAGAAGCTGTCTTGGCCTCCACCATTTTTATCCAGTCATTGTAGACCTTCTGCAGCTCCGTGGAGAGCATGAGGGTTTTGTTCCATCGTTCAGTGAACCACATAGGGGAGCTGATGTAGGTAAAAGATAAACTAGTTAAAATTGTCAGTTTTAATTGGGTACAGTTTCTAGAACCTTGATTTCTGCACAGCCCCAAAATGCCTTTGCATCTTCTCTGAAAGGCAAAAATTCTTTGGAAAATTCTAGTCTGTACTTCTCAGTGCTGGGAAAGAACTAAAGTCAAAGCTATATGTTTACATGCAATTCACATCTGCATTTTATACAAGCATCTGATTCTTCAGTGAAAGATGAATGTATTTCATGCTAAAGATGCACATCATTATGCAGTTAATTCTGGAAATACTAATAACTGTGTTTATAAAATTTGAAAGGAGAGAGAGGTTTTTTTTGTATCCATTGCATGTTTGAAATGGTATGAAACAATTTTTCTGTTCTGTCTAAGTTGAGAAAATTTCTGAAGTAGTCTTAGTGAGTCTTTTCACCTTCTCAAATGTTTTTTTTTTAGTTTTATTTTTTAAAGACAGACTAGGATTTGAAATGGGAGACTTGAGTACAGGTTCAGCTAATGTTTTGTTCTGATTGGACTGGAACCTGGTTTTACCAAATCTATTTGAGATGAGCATTTTCAGCTACGCATCTGCCTGGAAAGCTAAGAGCCGTTAGTTGCAAGGAGTCGGAAACTACAACTACTGGAGGACCTTGAGTCCACTGAAAGAAATTGTGCCATACGTTTTCCTATCTCCTCCTTTGCCAAAGCGTGAGTTCTGAGTTATATTAGAACTGCATCAGAAATATGGCATTTGGGCCAAAAAAAGACAGATTTGTAGGAAAACGAGCAACAGGGAGAAAACGTGCTGAATTTTAGCAAACCGTAGTGATATGCAACACCTTCAGAAAAGTTCCGTGTTTGTGCATGTTAAAATAGCATTAACAATACTGAAATTAAATTTGAAATTGAAACACTGAAAGAAAAAATGGCTGAGAAACACAAAGCTTTTTCATGGCATATTTCCTTCGTCTTATTTTAAACCATAAGTTTTGTTTGAAGAGCTGGTATCACTCCTAAGTTTGATGTGCAGTTACACCTGTGTAGATTTTGTTGAGGTAATAAATATATTTTCTACATTTGAACATTTGTTACTGCAGTTGAATGTGGGATTTTATAACTGAACAAATTTCTCTTAGCATTTACTAGACCGATACAATTTTATGTATTATTTGCTTGTGTGTTTATAAGCATCTTGAAACAGACAGTTTAGGATATTCAACTGTCTCACCCGAAATAGGAATGATAGATGAATAATGTCATTAGGATTTTCATTAACAATGAATTTCTCTTGGTCAAAGTATTGTCACTTCTGTCATCAAAATGTAACATGTATGCTATCTATCTTAGACTTCATTCTTGAAATTTTTTCACTAGCACTCTTTCGGTGACAGTTTCTGCTTTAGTCGTGGTGCCAATAGTGTTGATTCACCTCTTTCATAACATTTGCATTAGTAACCCACGATATAAAAGCTGCTATTGTGCGTATTCTCCAGTATTCTGATTTCTGTACAGTCTAAACAAAGACAATCTAAGTATTCAATACAAATTTTTTGAAGAACATGAAGAAAAAGTACTTACAAGGCTGAAGTACACGTCTAAGTTGGCTGAGCCTTGCAACTTCATGCTATTCAATCTGAAAATCTGGTTCCACATAAAATCTGAATAGTGTGAGACCTCTCTCTAAAGCTATAGCTCTGACACATCAGTAGGAAAAAACAGAACATGGATGTTCAAATTAAGCAATTGTTACATTTCTAGAGATTAGCATATCGTTTTATTGAAACTGTGCATGCTCTGTTCAAAAAGCTAACATAAAGGTGTAGTAAGGACATGCAGCCTGCTTTTTTTCCTGCAGCACCTAGTGTTTTTCATGTGCAGTAGCAGACCACACTTTGCACTGCTAGGAAGTCTTTTTCTCTTGTCACCTTTCTGAAGTAACTTTTAATACATTGTATTGTGTTTCTACAGTGATTGTAAACGTTCTGTGAAAGCACGTTTTAAATAACTACACAGGGTTTTCATCTTTTTGCATAGCCAAGCTAATTAGAAATTAATAACAATAATTTCTGTCTATGTCTTGTAACATGTATCTGTCAAGTATCAGAGATGAGTTTAGTTTTTCCTGCTCATTTCCTACTATTTCACTTTGTAAAAAACACTTAACATTTTGTTTTAACTTCTGGAGCTATTATAAAAGTAACTGTTACTTTTTTTCCCAAGGAGAACTGGGAATATTTGATTTAATGTGTTGCTCAGAAATTCACATATACACGTTCATATTTTTGTATACATAATCATTACTGGAAATTGAAGGAATCAACATCTGCACATTGAATTTTATGTGGATTGTAAACTGTCCTCCAAAGACATTTGTTGTCCAAGTGATTAATATTTAAGCTGTAGCAGTTTAGAACGTATTTAGAACATCTTCCTACTGTTATGAGGAATTAATCATCTTTCTTAATAATTTTTTAATTAACTCAATCTGAATTATTTGCAGTAACACAATTTTTTTTTTTCCTAATTTTTTAAGTGATTGAAAACTGAGGATGAATTTCATTTCAGTAAGATAGTACTACGATATATGTGGAGAAATGACTGGCAATATTATAAGTGGTAAGTAGAATTTTTAGGACAGGTTTTTGCTTTACCACAGCTAGAACTTAGAAAAGCGAATCCGGCATTATTTCTTATGTCCTTTCTGTAGGTCGGTGCCCTTAATGTGAACTAAAAAATGCAGTAGTAAGCTGCAGCAAGAGTCAGTTTGTTTTCTGCACTTCGTCCTACATTTAATTTCAATTTCTGTCTGACATTTTTATCCTAAGATGTGGAATTCAGTAGATGTGTCTTGTTGGATAGATCCAGAAGTAAACTGGGATGGATCCCATAGCTTGAGTAATGTTTTTCTTCTTTATCTGGCTAAGATCATAATTATGAATTTAGAAGCACATCTCTGTGGAGCTTGTATCTTTCATGTTCTCACAGGGATACAAAAATATTATTTTTCTCCTCATGCTTCTATTTCCAATTACTAGAAGAATATATTTTAATTGATTTCTTATTAGCTAGTCTAGTCAAACCAATTTAAAGCACTATATATGATGTAATGTAATGTTATATAAGCCCTACATTGTATATGTATTATAGTAGATCATGTCTATCAGTAAACGTGCAATATATTATTGCATATAATCATCTGTGTTATTTAATACTAACAGAAGAGGTATATATTTTACATTAAAATTTAATATTTAAATAGGACTCAGTGCTCAGTTCAAAGTTCCACTTACCTTTGTAAAGTTCTGAAACTCCATTAGAAGGCACAGGTGAATCTATAGAATTTATTTGACATGCAGAATATAGCCCTTTGTAAACACCTTATTCTATTCTGTGTAGAAGGCTCACTACAAGGAGGCAAAATAAAAAGGTTGTTGAACAGGTCTGTCAAATGTGTAGCTGCTGACATGGTGGGCTGTAGTTAGAAGAGCACTGACACAGTATTAAGTTCCATCATAAGGCATCTTTACCTGACTAAGTAATTTAGAATGCATAAAAATGATTTGAGATCAGTTTTTTTTCCCTCTTTCTGGCATACTATCTTGCAGCATGCTTATCTGGCTGAACGAAGCACTTTTTACTCTTAGTTAATAACTCTGAACAGTATCTGGAATTGCATGGCATGATATGAAAACTGAATATATACCTTCTTAAAAAGCTTTTTTTGTTGTAACTGTAGTCCACTAGGAGTAAGATTTTGCTTGAATAAAAGAAAGATTTGCTAGGCCACAGCTACAAGTTTCTCTCTCATTTTCACCAGGATCTCTGGCTACCTTCGCCATAAATTCTGGCAGTATGTCTTCTTCCAGCCATTCAATCCATTCAGGATTGTTTCCTGAGTTCCTCCAGAATGTTGTGTTGAACTGAGGCCTCTCAAAAGATCTTAATCCAAAAATTTGTGCATCAGCTAGATTGTTGTAGACTTACGTTCGTCTGAATAGATATTAAGCAAAAAGAAATCAAAAATCACATATGACTTGGATGAAATTGCACTGAACTAATGTATCTCTGTTTTAGTGGCTATAATCATCAAACATATGCAGAGATTTATAAAAGCAGTACACTTCTTTAGCAATTATTTTTCTGCATTTCTCTTAAATTAGTTCAGTTTTTAGTTTTGTCTCTGAACTTCAGCACAAGAGCAGATGGAAAAACCTAGTTGCAAGCTGTACGTGACTAGAATCATTAATTCAATCAATGGAAAAAAGTTGGTATAATTTATTCTGATTGAATGAAATATAAACAGAGGACATAATATAGTACAGTGTATATACTGAGGCTTCTGTTGCAGAAACAGAACACTGTAAGCATTTCAAGTTTGATTCTGATGTACATTACCTTTCTTGTTCTGTTGGAGATACTGTAATGTGATTTTTTCTCCTGCAGGCCATTACAAGTTGTCACTTCTGGTTGTTGTTGGCTTGGGTTTGCAGTGGTCCCATACGCAGCTGTTTGTAAAGTCACAAGCCACGTGAAGTGTCTGGAAACGTGTCATTCTTGCAGGTGAGTGGATGGAGAACTAACATTGAGACTATTATAACTCTCTTCTTCTGCCTGGAAATCTGATTACCTATTCTTTATTTTTAGAATTATGAGATTATTACTCTGTATTTTAAGTAAAATTTTGCTGAGTTCTTATTAATCTGAGTCAAGCAAATAACTTAACATTTGGGTAGTATCATTAACTAAGAGGACAGTCGCTTCATTCCTAGGCTATTTTTACTTTTGCATTGTAAGTTATTTGAATCTATTAATTTTCTATGCTGACTTGTTATAAACTATTGTAGTTAAAAAAGAGAGAGGGAAAAAAAAAAGATGTGCAGGGTGGTAGAACTGAAGAGAGGAGAGAGGCATAAAGTGTATTGGAAAACTACCAAATGTCCCCTGCAAATGGACCCTATTCAGAATCAGTAAGCGTATGATGAGTGAAGTGGTTTTGAATATCGCCTTTAGATTCCATGCTGTTACAAGGCCAGCCCTGAACATGGCAACTCTTATTTCCACACACAGTACCTCTTCACTCTCAATTTAACCCAAAAATCTGATGAACCCATTACTCCATACTTGATTTCATGGAACAAGGAGTAGATATAGTTACAAATGATCAATCACAAGCCTTGAACCAAAGCAGCAAGGCATTAACAATTCACACCATTTCGGTCCACTTGCTCAAGCAGAAGATGTGCCAGCATATTTAATGCACAGCTACTTCGTTCAGTTCAAGAAAAGACATGACTCATGCTCATTTTAGGAACTGAAGAGACTTCATGGGTTTTCATGCCTACTAACCGCTGAGAGTCAGAGTTTGCACTTCTAAACAATTAATATAACCAGGTGGTCTGTAAAGGTCACAGATAGAGGTAAGTTTGCAAACTAAATTTTGCTCCAGTTAAAAATAGAGGGAGAACTTGGGAAATGGTTTGCAAAATAAAGCCAAGTTCTGTTGCACAAATTTGTATTGTACAATCCACATCTTGTTCAGCACAATTGTAACGTTGTAGACCCCACAGGCATATGCCGTCAATTTAATAGGATCACTGAAAAAGCAAAGCAGCTGTGAAAGATTGCTGTAAGTACAGCAATCGTGTGCTTGTCATTCTGTTCAACGGTGGAAAAATCCAAATTCGGATAGGCATCAGTATTTAAGAGAATGACTGCTAGAGCATCTCTCATAAGTACCTTAGGGACAATGCAATTTGACATACAGCATGTAAACAAAAGTGTACAGCAGCTGTTAGATTAGTTTTTGTTTGAGTAGAAATACACTGCCGTAATTTAAAAAGCACAGGAAACCTCATTTTCTCCATCATTCAGTTTCCGTGCTTAAACCACATGTTCAGTTGGTCCGTGCCAGTTGCCATGGACAGATTGTTATGTGATGGAAACAGTGAAGAAGTGTATGGTTGCACAATCTTGTGGCCTCCGTCTAGTGTGACAGTGTAGAGAACAGATTAGAAGTACCTTCAGAAAAGGCCTTATGTCAAATGAGTTTGATTAAAAAAAAAAAAATCTCATATTTTGATCACACTGAAAAGCTTTTCCAGTAATGGAAAAGGTATTACTAGTTTTTGATGCTGTCACTTTTGAAAAAAAACACCAGACACTCAAAAAGATCCCTTTATTGTCCTATGGTATTTGCTACGATAAATTGGTGTAAAAAATGGCTCAGTGTAACATCATGAGCTTAAGAAGAAAGTTAGTGAACTGAATGTTGGGATATTTGTTTTTATTTTTTGAAATCCTCTTGTGAAGATTCCAAAGTACCCAAGGATGATTTTCCTGTTCTTTCACTTAACTAGCTGCTCCCACTCTGCTTGCTTTTTGTGGAATTTGAAATCTCTGGATTTTGTTTTTTGGGAAAATTTCTCTTTCTCTTTTTTTTTTTTTTTTTTTTTTTTTTTTTTTTTCAGAAGAGTGTAAAATTGCACTGTAATGAAATATTTTCTTCTAGAAAATTCAATCTTCTTCATGTGCTATTAACTCAGATTCATCAACAAGGAGGGTTTCCTTCCTTTACAGTTGTATGGGGCTGCCAAATCACGGCCCGAACCTCTGATTGATCACCTGAGGTGGGCACTGAGTCAGCCACGAGAGCACAGGTGAAGGCAATTCTGCTCTGCTAGACCCATTTAAGAACTGACTGCCAGTGGGGAAGGATCTCTTCTGGAGAGCTACTCCACTGGAGTTTATTATGCAAGCCCAGGATAGGGTGAGTGTTCTCTTTTCTTTGCTCTAGTATCATAATTGCATCAGACAAACTCCTGTACCATCTATATATTCATTGATTATACAACAGTCTATTTCATTTTCTGATTAAGGACTTTGTCTTAATGCTCTGTCATAATTTCCCTAAGAATCTCCTAGTATTATCTCTAGCTCCTGAGGCACACACATCATGGTGAGTTGTTCTTAAACCTTACTGAGATACCTCATACGCTTCCTTTCAAAGGGTCAACCTTTGTCTTTTGCTGTGGGTAACACACTGTTGCTGAACTTCATTGTCCTTCTTCGCAGTCAGTGTTTGCAATGTTTGTGATCTCTATCAACTATAATGTTGAATGGGCTATGCAACACTTAAGAGTAGATTTGCAAATCTTTGGGAACTTTTGCTTCTAGATTTTTTTGCCTTACTCTGTGTTTTGTTTGTATAAAGTCTTATCATCAGAGCAGTCTTGTGGAATTGGGAAGTATTTTACTAACTCGCTGTGAATATTATCATTATTTTTGAGCCAAAAGGAGATTGTTTCAGATGTGTGCCTTCTTTGAGTAAGTAACCAAAAGGACAAAAGGCTAAAAATGGTACTTCAACACACTGTATAACTGTTGGCTGATATCTTAATGTCTGGTCATCAGTCACAACTAGCTCTTCATTTAAAATTATTACTCTTGCATATCTACGTTAGTTCCAAATGTGATCAATTTAACTGCTCCTAAGCTAGCAACAGTGTTTTTTTGTTTTTTGTTTTTTGTTTGTTTTTTTTTTTTTAAATCTGGAGTGTATCTTCTGAAATTACAAATCAAATACCCAGAGCAATAAATGTAAGGACTATTTTAGTAAAAGTATAATCTTTTGAAATGGCTTCTTTGCTATTCAACCTCATTCTTCCCTTTCTACACACTTTTCTACTTCAGTGAATGCTTAATAAATTAAATATTGTTTATATCTTGAATTTTTAAAAGGAGGTGAAAAGAATGTGAAAAAGTTAAAATAAATAAATAAATGCAAGTTTGAGGTTACAAATCTGGAAACATAAAAGCATGGAATGAAGCAAATAGCGTTATGGATAAAAAGAGCTGATTTTTGGGGAACAACTATTGCTTATGCAAAATTAATTGGATTTGCTAATCATTGTGATTGACTAAAAGTCAGTTTGGGTGTTAGAAATTTCTGGAAGAGGTTACACTATGGATCTTTTCACTTCTGAGTCATTCTTGCAAGTTCTGGAACCATCTCTTCTCTGTTTTGGAAGCATGCACTGCCTTCAGAGGTGAATAAGCACAAGCTCATTATATTTACCTTGAAATTATTTGTGATAAAGTGATAGTGTTATAATTAGTCTTCAGATGTAACAGGCAATTCCTATGCACACACTTTCACACAGCTGTGTTTCAGCCTGCTTGCAGACTCAGAAAAACAGCATTACTTGTGTCTATCTGATTTTCTGTTTGTAAACTTATGGTAATGAAAGTCAAAGCAGTGAATAGAAACCTTGTTCGCTGATGTTTTTTGGTGGAACTTCCAGAAACTTCACTGGAATCAGGTTTCTGTCTTTTATAATTGCTTTGAACAAAGTACCAGTCAAGCCCCACTTCATGTGACATGAAATATACATTTAGTTCTGATGCTGCTTCCTTAGTTCTCAAATAAATTCACTCATGCCCATTTTCCAGACCTCATTCATGACTTCATCTTTATCTTCTTAATTTTGTGTCCGACTCCAGTGTTAGAGAATAAGTGCATTGTTGAAATAGTCTGGAAAAATATTAGTTCACTGATTTCTGCTGGAGAAGTTAACTTAGTATAAGGCAGCTCTCAGGACTACTTATGTGAGCATGAATTAAAAGGCTGACTAAATAAGATATCACAAAGTTCTGGAAGTCAGAAGACTTGGCTTTTAACATAATTTTTAAGAAAAGTTGTGCCTTTCAGAAAAACAAACATGGTTTGATTAGCCATGTACTGAATTCTTTCATAAAATAGATTCACTTAAGCAAATTACAGTAGTATATTTTCCAGTTATTTTTGAAGATGGATTTAACTGAAAGTTTCATTCCTTCTTTGTCCAAGAACTCAGATATGGAAGTTTCTAAATTATGGTCTTAGATCATTCTCTGCTTTTGCAGCTGACTAAGCAGATAATGAGGCTAAATATTTGTCATGTCTGAATTGAAACTTTGTCTCAATAAAATAAATGAAGTGTAATTCGTCTTCCTCTCCCTCTCCTCTCCTCTTTTTTACAATATAAAGCAATTTCCTGAAATGCTAGTTAATGCTGTTTTATTTTGTTACAGAAGAAAGAGCCACGTGTACATTACAAAATAGAGTAAAATACAAAGTACCTATAAAGTACATGAATCTCAGTAATGCCTGAAGTCAAAATAATCTTTCCTTATTTGTGATACATAGAGATGTTATGTCCCTAAGAGAGAATGTTTTCAACCTTTACACTGATTTGAAATCCAGGAATAGCAAATAAAGATCTTGTTGAGACCATCACCATGAATCAATTCAGTCCATTGTTTCATTTGGCCTTCTGTGATTATTAAACAGCTACACTGATTTTTTTTTTTTTTATTTGTTAGAAATTGTTTTTCAAGTAGTAGCAATGAGAAAGTTATAATAAAATTACTTAGTAGATTGTTGATTATATTTTATGTGTGCTACCATTTGAAATGTGTTTGGTGTATGTAAGCTCCTCAACGGGAAACTGTGTACAGAAACAACATGGATCTTGCAATTTTATCAGGACAATGCAAGTAGATTTCAGCAAGGTTGGTTCCAACTCATCTGTGATAAATGAGAAGATAAGGCAATCAGTGCACACCATGACACTCTGTGCAGCTAGTTAGGCACACTTCAGAACTATTCAGGTGTGCTCACGAAGCCTATGAGTCTTTCGTGGGGGGTGTCTCAATATAAATACGTCCTTCATGGTGGCCCCTGGAAATGCAGGACTTGCTTTTCCAAGACTTAACCCAGGTCAGATATAAATAATAGATATTAAGAGTAAGTTCTACTGCTGAGGCTGTGTTAGAGACTATATTTTGGTTAGATCAAAAGAATGCATTTTTTTTCTGCTTCTTTTTTTTGCTTAGCTCCTGTGCTTGATAGATGCCTGCAAAATTCCATCACACTTTTGCATGGACCTGTTTGGGTCTCAGGGAGAGAAGGTTTCAGCCTCTTAAGACCAAAGATTTATATCCAAGAAGCTCTATTGGCCCTGCACCAACGATTACAAGTCTGCAAACTGTTGCAAGCCGGTGAGTTGTCCCACTTCTTAAAAGCCTGCTTTTTTGTTTTTATTTTGCAATGTACTGCTTCTATAAAAAACAACAGTTGGTACTGTGTCATAAGGAAGTGTGACATGTATTGCATGAACTGCATTACCTTTAAGGAAAATGAAATACGTATCCTGTAATCACAAAGGCAACAGCAAAGGATTTAATTGTGTATCTCTTTTGGTAAGAGATGTCATATGTATCCTGTTTTCTTGCTGCATGCTGTGCTTAGCAGTGTTGCTCCTTATGTGGAAATTCTATAAAGCAGTGATTTTTTCATAGCTTGTTCTGCACTGCAGTTTTTAATGGTCCCATAGATCTTCTCCTAAAGCTAATCTAAATGATTATTTAGCTGAAAGATTTATTTGTTAAATAAATAAAACATGTAACTAGTGTGGCATTATGAAAGATTCGATAACTATAATATTTACAAAACCCCATACTTAATTACTATGCATATGCCTTTAAAGATCATTTCTTATTTTTCGTTTATTACCAGAAATGCATTTTATTTTGAAAAAAAAGGACAAATGTAGAATACAGAGAGTGAATATATTGTTTCATAGCTTTGTAGCAAGAAGATTTTTTTTTTTCTTCTTCAAACCATGTGTTTTATTTTAGGAAATAAAAACAAAAAAGGAAAAGGTCTAGTTTAGGGTGTTTACTTATGTTCACATTTTTAAAGATTAGGAGATGAATTATGTATAAAAAGCATGTACAGATTTTCCAGGAAATATACTATGTAGAAATTAACCAGCCAGCTAGGAAACTAGAATTTCAAAATGATCTCAAGCCCCAGAGTTAAGAATGACTATCATACTACCAGCCTGTGTAGGAAGGGGGAGGAGAAGTGCAAGCAAAGTGTCAGTCACACTGTTTATACAGCACCTCCTGCTGTCAGATCCATAAAGAGAAATGAGAATTGACTACAAGAGACTATTCCTGTCTAGAGCTAATAGTGGTCAGCAAAAAGAAATCAAACAAACAAAAAAAGAAAACAACCAAAACCAGAAATGAGAGTGTGTGTGTGAGAGAGAAACAAGCAGAAAAGAAAAGCGTGTTTCAAAATGTTTCTGCGTCAGTTTAGCAATACATTAAAGACTGAGAAATGTCTTTACACATTTTATTTACAGTCTTCACTTTAAAGACAATGCTGCCTGTCACAAAGGCCATAGGAATGAGGTATATTACTTTCCACAGCCTTTGCTCTTCTAGAAAAAATATGCAGCTTGCTTACAAGTATTAAGCAAGTATAGAAGTAATTAGCGGAGTAAAGCAGGCAAAAATAAAAATTTATATGCAAGTCTGTCAATATCAACAATTTTTTGCTCGTCATTATAAAGTACGTGTAAAGAAGTTTCAGAAAATTAACTTGTATGAATTATTCCTCTGGTGGTTGTGCAGCATTGTTAAGTTGGAAATTATAAATGACCGAAATCAGAACAATTTTCACAGATGTGAAATCTCTTCTGGAGGCAAGTGTTTCTTTATGCTGAAAGGCTCACATATATACAGAAGTTCAATATGACGTTGCTGGTTATTTTCAGCTTTTAAGAGTCTTCAGCTGACAGGGATAAATGTACGTTTATGTGGATGGCAGTCGTTGATTAAAAAAAAAACTTACGATTAAAATATTTTAGTAAACTTTTCCAATTCATTTCAGTGCTTTTACATCACAAGGATGTTAAGTATTTTGTGCAGTGAATGTGTTGAAAGCTTGTGTTAGTTTAAATTGTATTACCTCAAAGATGATATATAGCATGTAAATCAATTTAAATTGTCTTAATTTTTTGGATCATTTTGTACCTGAAGTTTTATTAGTACTGAACATAAAAGTGGTAAAATAGGCTATCTTATACTGTAGTTATGAAAACACCTTGAAATAATAGTCTTCTCACTATGCTGAGCTTTTTTATAAATAACTAAAACAAGTTTTTTGGTGAAGCGTAAATTGTTGGATGATGCAGATTAGGATTAGGATGCACGGTCGTAAAAAACCAGGACCTTCAATCAAAATACTCTGTCAGTTTGTCCTGTTGTGCCAAGGCCTGACAGCGTGACTATCGTAACTGTGTACAGCATTCATACCAGCATAAAATCTGGCAGTATTACAAAAATGCATTGATTTCTGTTTATTGCGGTGTTACTTTGGCAGTTTTCATTATTTTTAGTTATTTTCTCTACTCACTGTAATAAAAATGGAATGGAGGTAAAAAAAAGAAAGTGGCAGGAGGAAATTCTTTGATCCCATATTATTTTCCTAATATACTCTGTCCGTAGAAATCAAATACAAAAAACAACAAATAATATGTAAATACATGTTACTTCTATTAACATCCATCTGGAATTCAATTTAAAATGCTTGTATTGAATTAAAACAATACTTAGCTTCTGGTCCATACTGTGCAGTTGCACTGCTCAGTGCTTTTTATCAGCACGCTGTTGCTTCTTGCCCCAGAGGAAGGGAGCAGTGAGGAGTTACCATCTCTTTGCTGCAGTCTTTGTACCTTTTCAAAGAAGGCTGTCGGTGTTCTGCAATTGGTATTCCTCGAGAATAACGTAAGGTGGAGAGAACTAGGTAAAACTGAGAGCACTTGATGTTTGGAAAAAGGCTTGTGCAGTGCCTGAAATGAAAGAGATGGGGGGGGGAAAAAAAAACAACAAAAAAACCCCTTTAAACACTGTACTACAAAAGCATACTGATCTTTTTTCCTTTCAATTCTTCCTAATTGCATTTGTATATCTCTAAAATATTATAGCAGCTTCACTAAAATCTTGAAAAAGCTTATTTTGACACTTCACTGCCATGAATTCTGTGACTGAAATGCAGTTTTCTATTAAAACACACACACACACACAAAAAAAAAAAAAAAAAAACAGGAGGGGGGGGAGAGGAATTTAAACACAGAACTGTTAGAATTATTTTGTTATTAGTATTTCAGATGGCAGCCTTAGGCCTTACAATCTTAAACTCGCTGCTTTGGTGACTCTTGGAATTTCTGAGATGCCTTAATAAATATAATTGTTAAAATCTGGATTATTATGTAAATAATATGTGTAATTGGGTAAATGCGTGCAAGACTTTTTAAAACCTTTTTGTCCAGTTGCTGTAGTTTCTATTAATGATGTTTCCAGAAGAAAAACTACTGAAAAATGAAACTGAACTCAAATGAAATGTAACACCTAACAATAGAAATAACATTATATCTGATAGCATGAGGCATAGTTAACACTTTCAGAGATGGGGGATGTCCATCTCATTAACATTCTTCATATGTAGTGGTGCTCTTGGTGGGGGTGTTGAAGTAGGAATGCCATTGTGCTGGGTTCCAGTGTTTGGGGACAAACACTGCTGTGGAGAGAACGTGTGAAAAGGCCATAGTACTGACAGTGAATGAGGAAGGCTGTGCTTTCTGTATGCTTCAAGCAGGGAAGCTGTCATTCACCGGCCTAGCACAGCTAAACAGAGACCAAAAGGGAAGACTCAAATACCTTTTAAAATGATATTAATGATTTTTAAACATTTTCTTCATTTAGAATTACACTTTATTCAAGCTGTTTGTCTGTCCTGTAGTAAATGGCACAGAATACATATGACCAGGTAAATGAAAGAATAATCCCAGTCACTGCCACAGTTAAGATTTATTATGAAAAATGTATAGGTATAAATATTTGAGCATGACAAGTTGCTTTAAGTGTATTTAAATGGTTTTGCACATATGATACTTGCATGAACTTAGCAAAACTTCAATGCAGTAAGTAACAAACATAGCCTGTCCTAAGGTTCTTTTCAGTTTCCTTTTACCTTGCTGCAGGCATGTTATATGTGGGGATGAGGGCACTGAGCTGGGATGAGAAGTGACAGAAAATTGTGTTGAATGTTTGTTAGCTTGATCTAGCAGAATTTATAGTAATGATATTTAATCATTTGAACCACAGCAATTTACATTAAAGTAATATTTCATAAAATATGAAAATACCCACAATAAAAGAGAACAGAACTGTTGGCTGATTCTACTATTCATCTGTAATTCTACATTTCAGCTATGGGAATTCTACCTTAAATGTATTATTTCAAGAGTACATGCAACAGCTTTGCTGTTATTATTCTAAGCTGAATACAGAGACATCATAGTTCATAAGTTTTTCCTCATTTTGCTACATAGATCCATGAAAAATGATGCTGATTTTTTTTTTTTTTTTGTAATGAAATAATGCACCTATTAGAACAAAGAGAAAAGAAAAAATACATTTCTTTTATTATCTTTCACTACTCTTTTGAAATAGCCAACTCAAGTACTGAAGGCTGATTGCATCCAATCCATCCATGAAACAAATACAGAAGTTTCTCTCCACCACTTTACACGTATGTTTCTTAAAGAGAACAATAAAGAAATGACTCTTCAATTGGTTTTCCCAGATTTCAGCAAATTTTTTGTGTGGTAAGATTTCTAATGATTCTTTTATGTGTTGTTTTTTTTTTCCCCAGAATTAAAATATAAACTAACTGTTATTTAGAACCCTTTTGCAAGTGTTTAGGCTGGGAGAAACTAACAAGTGATACATTTTATTTGCCAAGTATTTTTTAATCAGTGTTTTTCATGCATACTTTATATCCATATTAATTGATAGAGTTATCAGAATATTACAATTGGTAATTTGTAATGCTATTTTCAGAAAATCAGATTATATTTTGCTAAAGATGGCGTTATAACTGGTACCCCTTGAAAAGAAGAAAAAGAAACTTCCTGATTTCCTGTTCAACCCTAGCTTGCATTTGTGTTGTTAGTGAACAGCCTGAGTTCACCTCACTCGCCCACCTCCCCCTGCCTTATTTTAGACGTAAATATTTAAGTTTCCTCTTGGTTGCAGCTTCTGCTCATCTAATTTTATGTGACATTGACTCACACTGAGGAAGAGGTGTTAAGTATCTTTATTTCAATCTTCAGAGGTCACACGAAAATGAATTTTTTGTCAGTTTGACCTGTGTAGGGAGCACTCAGGAAATAACATCGTGTTAGAGTAAACTTTGCGTCAAGCAAGATTTTAGGCGGAAGTGTAATATTTCAACACAGCTTATTAACAGAATATGGAAATGGTGTTGCAGTTTGAAACTGATAGAAAATACTGCCCTCTCGTTAGTTCAGATAAGTGATTCTTATCATGTTGTATTGTTTGTCGTTTGAGTGATGGTTGAAATTTTTCCCGCAACTGAACTGCATTCTAGTTACCAGAAGTATTTTAAGAACCTTAAACTTGTGTCTTTTTCTAAGTGTCATGCCTTGAGCAGGCCTAACATCAGTTAAATGAAGTGAAAATTGCATTCTTGTCTTGATAGAGATGAAAATGGATTTCTGGTCATGAAATAGATGTAGTTGTCACTTTTTTAAAAAGGTGTCAGCAGTTTGCTTCAGCAAGTAAGGTGCCAATTCAGTATGACAGTAAACTTGTGATCTGAGCAATCAATAAAATGCTTCAATAACTTCTGCTTCATTACACTTATAATAAGAGGCTATAGATCTGTGGCACATAAAATGTTGATAAAGAGAATATGTAGGGACTTAGCATGACATTTTGTTTTAGTAATACCGTAAGTGCAATGTTGCCATCTAGAGTTTGTGCATAGGTAATTATTCTGAAAGCAAAAGCTGTATTGAAAAATGAACGCTGTTATTTCAAAGCCCTATTTATTTCCATCACTTTGGGGCTTGTATGTCTGTCTGTATGGAATAATTCATTTACCTTGTCACAAAACTGTTTAGGTCAGGACAAGTAAGACAATTTTTGCTGTTTTTCAGCCTTGTTCATTTGGTAGTCTGTAAAAAATGTGAGCATTTTCTTTTTCTCAAACCAACATTAAAATACATCTAAGAAACAATTATTTTCTAAATAGGTCAGCTGTTACCAGATACTTAAAAAATTATTACATTACATTGCTTTGATTCGACACCTACGAGGGTTGATAACCAAAGCTTTGTTATCACACTGAGTTAATATTGTCATGTTTCAGATTTGAGCCAAGTGTTCTATCTGTTGATATATGAAATAAATAATAAATGGCTCCTTCTGATTTTTCATAAACATATATCAGAGGAAAATGCTCTCTGAGCTACTTATCTTGTAAGAAAATTTTGATACTTTAACTAGGTTGTTGGTTTTTTTTTTTTTTCCTCTTTTCAAAATAGGTGGCACTTGATTGATACAACATAGAAGGAATTTCTGCTATGTATTGGATTGCATTTTGAATACAGAATATCTGTGGAGAGTTTTTCTTCCCAGGGAAATTATTGGAAGTCCTAAATTCTTCTGAAATATATTTTTGAAAGATGTGGGATTAACAGTTATGTCTAGAAAGCATGAAGGATGATTTTGTCAAATCCAGTAATCACACCATGCTTTATTTAGTGAGAAAGAAAATTTGGTTGAGATTATTGAAAAATGGATAATTAAAGCCTTCTTTGTATAGAAAAGGCTGATTTGTCTAAGTGCAAAGATACAGCATGTTTATTAAGAGGATGACTGATAAATCTTCTCATTTTTATAAGCAGCAATAAATATATTGCTTCTGTTTTTTCTTCTACTGATATGTAATTTATAAATCTCTTTTGAATTCAAAGCATTACAGTACCTTGGGTGGTAATGGTACACATGCTTCATGTTTCCAATGAGATAGCCCTTGCTCTGCTGAGGTGATTTGCTAATAATGTCCTGTGCTTTTTTGCTATAATTTAACCAGTTCCTTCCGCAGAGAGAATATAGTGGTGAGAGGAAATGTGTCTGAAAATGTGAGTAAAGAATTAAATTAAGACTCTTAGAATGTCATTTCTGGATTGTTTTTCATCATTAACTTCCATCATTTTTTGCTTCTCTTTGTTTGAACGTTAATGTTTTCTAGAAATGTATAGAATATACTAAGAAAATATATAGAAGCCAAAGCATAGACCACAAATGAGATGAGATTCTTTTGCAAATTAGAAATCAAGCGTTTGGGACTAAGGAAGTTACAGCAGCATCCAATATCTTTGTCCATCACGTTTTCAGCTCCTATTTGACTAGACTTTGAATCATCCCCACATACGTAACCAAGTGAATCTTAACAGGGCATGTATTCTTTGCTGTTGGAAAGGGGAAAATTCACTCTTTTCCATTACATTGCCGGTCCTGTAATTGAATTAACACAAAATGATGCCTGTACCTATTTGAAATAAGTGCATCTCTGCATAGAAATATGGATTTGACTTCTTTTGAGTGCTCCGCATTTATAGTCTTTGATTTAATGGCATGTAAAGTAATTTTGATCACCCAAACCTGGATTCTAAGAATTTGTCAAATGACTAAAATTGTGCATTTTAACTGTCTTTGCGTGCTTCTAGATTCTATCAGTTCATCTTGGACTGACTTCCTTTCTTTAGGGATTGAGTACGGTCAAAATACATCATATTTGCCATAGGCTAGACTGTATAATCGTTCACTCATTTGTCTTAGTTGACAAGGGTAGTTTGTTAAGCAAAGGAATTTGAATGTATGCCTGAATCTGGGGGCACTTAGGAAAACTCTTGGGTATTACCAGATTTACAATAAAATTCTGAGTTTTCAAATCCATTTTATTATTCTAAATTAAGAAATATTAAGAATATCTGCTGGGCAGGAGTAGGAGTTCTTGAGTTACATTGTTCATAAATATTCTGTAGTTTTACACAGAGAAGATTGAATCAAGATTAGTTTCAGATGTATCATTTTAGAGTTATGTAAGGAGACAACTAAATGTGGACTGTCTTCCTGCATGAAAATGGGAGCATACATGCAGTAATGTCATATCTATTGCTTAAGTGCAGCACTGACATTCTTCTATTGTGAGTTAAATGAAATGCTGCACAATTATTAGATCTACTCTTCGAGTTACTTCTTCAACTACTCTTATTAGAAGTCATTCAAATAAAACATAAAAGCTCAATTTAGAACTTTGTGAATATACTGAAAATAAATCATTGCATTTTACAACTTTGAAAGTAATTACTGAATTCTATTGCTAAAGTCTGTGGAAGTGGGTTTGACAGATTTTCTCTAAATTACTCAACCACCTACAGGTATTACTGCCGAGAGTCTTTTGAAATGAGAATAAATTTTATGGAGTTACAACAGCAAAGTGAAAGAGTATGTTTGATAGATTCTCTGAACAGTTTCAACACCCACAGGTATTATTTGTAAGAAAACAATCATGCAGAGTCCTCAGCTGGTTAGAGAGGGCACAGCTTTCCATCTTCACCTGACATCCTATCTGTTCTCTCCACATCCTGTGCCCCCTGCCTACCACCCACTCCTCCTAAAACAATGCTCACTAAGAGAGTTTTGTGTGAATGGACAAGAATATGAATGTTTTTTCAAAGAATCTGAACAGTATAGAAAACACATTCTTTGTGGGTGACGAAAAGGCTTGAGATGGGAGAAGAAAAACTGTCATAAGGATTGATTAGTATTCTTCACTTTCTTTCCTAATTAATCATTGTTATTCTTTAATTGTTGTAAACACTCAAAGGTAATTACTCGTTTAAAACCTGAACATAAGAAAAAAAAACACCCTAAAAGATAAAATTGAAAACTATATTCGTTTTATTTTTGTCTTTTTTATTTGATTCACAAATACTATTTTGTGATTTGGTGCAACTTTTCCTCAATATTTCTAAACAATTGAGTCCTGAAATATTCAACGGGAGTTTTTTTTTAAATCAGTGCGTGAATGTTAGCTGTTAGCTGTTTAAATTTTAACGAGGGCCCTGTGTCTGTAAAAGAGACATTATATAATTGTGCACTTCTTGAAGACTTTTCCATGCTATAATTCCCTTAAATTAATTTTTGTTTATTCAAATAATGCCCAAAAGATCCCAAAAGATGAGGCCTGTTTACAGTGCATGCACTAGACTTATATCACTGTATGTAGACTGTATATCACACAGGTGTAATTGTATGTACCTTATACTGTAATTTTATTAAGCTAAGATTTTGTGCTTTAACATTTGTTCTTTGTAACCCTGTAAAAGTGTAGACTTTTAGCTTGTTGCTTTTCTTCTTTTAATATATCATTTGCTGCATTTTTTGTTTTTGAATCTTGATGAATTACTTTAATTCAGTACTAAAATAAGAACTACCATTTAAAAACTAAAGTATTATTTTAGAGTAATATATAGAGATTTACATCAAAATCATCTAATTGGCTTACATTGACTTGCCTGTTTCAAGGATGTAAAAATAAATTCATTTCTAGAATTTGTTGCTAAACTCATATAGTTCCATTTTCTTGCTGAACAGCTTTTTGTTGTAACACACTGAGAAATATGCCTACTTAAAACTTTGTACACCTGAGCATATTTATGTAGTAGACTACCAGGCTGTGCTGACTTAACCAAATACTTTCTCAAGTGCATCCAGAACATCAGAGAATTCTGTTGTCCCCTCCAGCCTTCTGTTATTCAGATCTCATTTTAAGCTGCAATATTTTGCATTTTGGTCACAACAACCCCAGGCAACTTTACAGGCTTGAGGAGGAGTGGCTGGAATACTGCCTGAGGGAAAGGGACCTCGGTGTGCTGATGGACAGTCAGCTGAGTATGAGCCAGCAGCGTGCCCAGGTGGCCAGAAAGGCCAATGGCATCCTGGCTTGTGTCAGGAATGGGGCGGTGAGCAGGACCAGGGAAGTCATCCTGCCCTGTATGTGGCAGTGGTGAGGCCTCACCTCGAGTGCTGTGTTCAGTTTTGGGCACCTCAGTACAGAAAGGATACAGAGGTGCTGGAGCAGGTCCAGAGAAGGGCAACAAGGCTTGGGAAGGGCTTGGAGAATATGGCCTGTGAGGAGAGACTGAAGGAACTGGGGCTGTTCAGTCAGGGAAAAGGAAGCTGAGGGGAGACTTTATTGCTCTCTTCCTGTGCTTACAGCGAGAGCGGGGCTGGTCTCTTCTCACTGGTGACAGGGTGAGGGGAAATGCTCAAGTTGCAACAGGGTAGGTTTAGGTTCGATATTAGAAAAAACTTCTTTACAGAAAGGGTTGTAAGCACTGGAATAGGCTCCCCAGGGAGGTGATTGAGTCACCACCCCTGGAAGTGTTTAAAAACCATTTGCATGTGGTGCTCAGGGACATGATTTAGCAGAGGGCTGTTAGATTTAGGGTAATGTGGTTAGGTTGTGGTTGCACTTGATGATCTTTAAGGTCTTTTCCTACCTGGGCAATTCTATGGTTCTACGATTTTGTCCAGAATTAGTGATTAACATCTGTGTGCTGGCACCATTCAGGATGGCCACCAACTTCTGAATTATTTCCAGCTTGGTTTTCTCTGCTGATTATCTTTCACTCAGACAGATAGGAATTTCAGTATTCCTATCTACTTCATTATATCAATTCAACAACTTGAGCGATTCATTATCTGGAAGGTTGTATACGTTTCTCTTTGCTGAGTGGCAGGAAGTGGTTTGCCAGTCTTGTACTTTTCTCATATGTTCTTCTTTCAAAAAAGGATTCTACTTTATTGGGCTTCTGAAGAGCTCTCACAGTTCAGACAACAATCAGGTGACTGTGAATCAAGAGCGTGTTGCAGCCTGTACTGTGAGCTAAAGTGTTGTTTCAGTGTAATTGTGAATCTTCTTCTGTGGTCATAGCAAGGAAACTACATGCAGATATTTGTAATTCTAAAATTACCCTGAGCCAACAAAATTCTGCTCCAGAAATCTAAGTCATCTGAGTTCTATGCTGTCTACCAAATTGTTACACTTTAATATATTGTGTTCAAAAAATTATTTCACATAAATTCTTGATAAATATGATTTATTTTTTCCCCCCTGGTTATGTCCTTGATTCTTAAAGACAGCAATTGTTCAAAGGAAAAGAAAAGTTCTATCAGGCTAAGTGGCAAGCTATATAGATATTATGTAACTGTAATTTTATATATTGACTACAAATTTGAGCTGGCCTCTTGTTCAAAGTTGCCACTATACAGTGCAGAAGCAGATTTTCTCCATAGTAGACCAACACACTTCAGAGAAGGAATGAAAGAGCTTCTGCAAAAATACACCTCCTCCTAGCATGGAATGAGTGGATTTATAAAATTTCTAAGCAATGTCCTATTGTATGACAGAACGAAAGGTCAGTTTTGTTAGTTACCAGAACTGTCACCATCCTTGTTTGTGCAGATTGCCCAAAATACAGGTGTTCAGCAAGAAGGCTAAGGATGTATTGAGTAAGGTCGTGTTTTAGTCTTATTTCCAGGGTGAACCAGTGAACAAAGGTTTAACCACAGCATGATTGTCAGCCAACAGCCTTAAAATTATGTAACTCCACTTCTTTGTGTTAAAACTTGCTTACAGTCCGTTATCACTACTGATCCTCACACCTCTGGTTCTAGAAGGGGGAAGACTGTGTAGAAAGAGAAAATGGTATGTGAAGATTAAAAAAAATATCATCTAAGTGTATAAATGTTTATGCCGTGCAAATTTAAGCTTCATTGTATAAAATTATTCAAATGCTTTCTGGATGTGAAGAATTAGATTAAAAAAAAAATAAAAATACAGGGGAAACTAAGAACAACAGCTATGCACATTGTAGGTTTTAACATTTAATAACGTGCAATTCAGAGAACTATATTTAGAAGGTAAATTATTTGTGTACTCAGCTACACCGGCGCAGTGAGAACACTTGATTCTGTTTTGTGCAGCTGATTACTCAGGGAAGAAGTGAAGTTAAAAAGGTTAGGTGACAATTAAATTTGAGCAGTTGATTCAAGTTAGTTCTCTTTTAAAGGTTGTTTTTATTCATAGTTTAGAATTATAATTGTGTGAAAGCATTGTGCTCTTTGTTCTAATATGGAGACTCAGATGAAATTATAATGCAGTCTACATATCCCTATAAGGGCACAGATTTTCTGACATAGATATAAATGATCTAACTTTACCTAATTATGGAATCATTAGTGTAAGTCAGTGTACTAGCAAACACAAAAAGCATTACATGTATTCTATGTACTGGAACTGCAACAGAAAGAGATAATGTTTCTTCTCATTCTCCTCCCACTGTTTTGAGCTGGCTCTCATCTTACTGAGAAAGCACAGAACTTGGTCTAGTGACTAATTTTTCAGGTTCTGTGAAAGGGGAAAAGTGAACATATCTTGCTAAAATAAAAATATTAGAACAAAACATACACACACAAAACAGTGAAGAATTTGGATAATTCACAACAAACATGTTAATCCTGTGCTGGCTTTGCCCTTCCAATACTCCATAGAGCAGACATTTCTGTAAACAAATTTTGTGTAGACAAACAAGTACCTGTTGAACACTTAATGGATAAGCAAATATCTCTCAAGATCCATAAAATACCTTTAAAAAATTTCTAAAGCAAGGAAACAGACCATCAGAATTACTTCTAGTTGCCATAATTGGCAAAAAATCTTTTGATTTTTGAGGAAAGAGAAATGGAGCATTAAGTCTTCCCAGTAACTGCAGACAAGTTAAAACTAGCATCACTATTGTATTTGTCTATCAAAGGTCTTTTTTAAATGTCCAAATTCATCTGAGGCTTTGAAAATGTAGAACTAGAAAGGACCGTAATGTCAGGGTCAGTCTTGCACTACAACTAGGAACCATACTGTAGAAGACTTATCAATTTCTTCTTTAAAAAGCTAGCTGGGTTCTTTGCATTCAGTTTTACTGTAATAAGGCTGTGTGAGATTTTCATTTCTCCGGTGGTTAAAAGCTTGCTTCTTATTTCCATTCTGACTGTTTTCATATCTATTTAATATCAACTTCTTCCTGTTGTGCTAATCGTGTGTTTTTTTTTCTGAGAAAGCTGTGCATCCTCCTTGCTGTTTACCTCCTTCCCATATGTTTTTAAACAGTTGTCATATCTGTTTTAAGCCTTTCTCTTTCTAAGCCAAATTCTTCTTGCTTCCTCTTGCAAAATGCTGGTTATTGCTGTAAATGTGACATCACCCCTTTTATACATCTATCTAGTCTTACTCAAACATAAAGAAAAGGTGCACAGTACTTCATAATATTTAATGGCTTCTTAAGAGTGCTCTGTAGTTTCACTGATTTATTTATTTTTTTTTTTCCTTTTTCAAAATAAATTGTTTGCTATTCTCTAGTTATGTGAAGGTCCCACTTCCATTGAAATCTTTTAGAAGTACTCATTAGCGAATATTTGAGTGCACACAGCAGTTGGTTCAGAATTCTTAAGTGAAGGCTACTGTATGGTCTGCGATATATTAAACATCTTGAGTTTTACTTGTAGATATCAATGCACAGCATTACCTTACTGCCTTTATTTTTCTAACTTTACTTTAAACTCATGCCTTTGAATACTTGTATACCAGTCCTAACCTCCCACTGTGGGACTTGCCTCTGTTATATAGTTCCATGCTGCTAATGCATCAGGTTCTTTTGTTGTAAGACTTTTATTATCAGCTGCTTTGAGATTTTTACAGGTCGCATTCAGTTTCCTAGTCTGATAAGACTTCAATAGTTCTTTTAGTACCTATGTATCCTTTCTGATTTGTATCTTCTACAATTTTATCTATTCCTCTGTCAAAACCAAATGTGGAAAAAACTACTTTTTCTAACTTTCCATTTCTTAATAGTCATGTTTGCCTATTGCTATCTAGAAAGTTGTATTTATATTCATTAGAACTTGACAAATATGAACGTATTATTTATATGGTACTCTCCTAAGTTACAATTGGAGGCATTATAGTCTGTTTTGTTAAAATTCCAACTGATAGGTAATTAAGTATGGAAGTAGTCATGCTCAGAAGACTGAAAAACTGAAACGCGTATTTTGCTAACAGCTTGTTTGGAAGAAGTCGGCTTCCAAAATATCCCATAGAATACCATTCTCCTCTGAGAAACTTAAAATCGCATAGCAGA